GTTCCGAGAACAGTGTTCTTGAGTCCTGTTCCCGCCGTTCGAGCGCGAGAACAAGAAACCCGTGTCAAGAACAGGCTGCCCGAACTCGACCATAGTTAATTCATGACCAATCCACTTTAAACATAGACTGACTTTGGCTTTCGACCATTGCTCGGTCCTTAGTCACTTGGAGGGGGTGCGATAGGAGAAACCATATTTTGTGGGTACTCCGTTCAGTTGTGCTTTCACAGAAACCGTCAAGAATGATTAACATTTCGCAGACTTCGTATGCGCCTTCCACACTTTCGAACTTTCCAACAACTACAGAAGGGGGAAAGTCCTTTACACCAAAACACCAGACGCATAGTGTTTGAGGTAAGGTTGTTAGGTTAAGGTATGGTAGCTGCTGACGTACACATAAGATGAACATTTTTTGTATCATGAACAGAATCTCAATATAACGTAACCCCCCCCTCTGCTTTTGGAATTGCCTTGGTACCCCAATCCTCAACTCGCTGGCACATAATTTGTGCCACTGACATTGTCGATGGAAGGACAGAACAGTGCACAATAATCAGGAAGCGATTGAACAGAGGCCTTCCAGAATACCGTTCCAACGCTGAAGCCAGTACCAACTAGACAACTATTTGTCGAACTTTCATTCCGTGTGTCGTGAGACAATATTGTGCAGTATCTTTGACAAAGCTGGGCGGAGCTGTGACACCGGGAAGATGGGGGGGCCTATTAAAGGAAACATGAACCCAAGGAGGCCACTAATCTCCTCAGAAGTGATTCCTTCACTTTCTTTTACTGTGAAGTTATCCACGACACATGAGTTTTCCCTGAATCACTGCTATAAATGCTCTTGAAAATATCAAATTCGTGTCCTTAATGGTCTTCAAATGCAGAAGTCATTAATTTCACCAAAATATGGAACATGGAGCTGTTTTCGTCAACTTGTGTTACATAATACGATTGAATAAAAGACAAGGTTAAAATGTCTTGGTTGTTTTACCTTACCTTAACAAAAAACAGGTATTTGGAGCGCAGTTTGTAAAATAATATCTTATACTTGTCAGAAGTGTATATGATGCCAGGAGCCATTGCACAAATTTCAATAGGTAGCTCTGTGAACACCGAGCAGTGTCTTTGTAAGTTAAAACTGATGAGCACAGGGATCCTCCAGCGGGCATCGTAGTTTTGGGCACCGTGCACATCCTAAACAATTTCAAATCATATTCTGTACAATTTTCCTACATTTCGATTTTATCATTTACCCCACAGGATGCGACTGCTCGAGGCTAAACATGAGAAGATTAGTGTGTAGTTCCGGTAAGTCTAAGAAGTAGGGCTCAGTTTTAAACTTTAAAGCACATTTTGGCATTGAAACCATTCCAAATTTGTTTCTCAGAGGATATTCTAGGGGCCTTACACTTTGCGCCGGTCATCACCTTTGCAGCCCCCACTAAGCCTTTCCTTCCTTTTAAATTCCGGTTCAATGTTCTCCCTGTCTCCCTTTTTCCAGGTTCTTGTACGCGTAGTGATGTCGAGAACGCCCAAGAGAGGTGCCTTCTTAGATGTGCGTAAAACATCGTCACTTTTAATTGTTTATTACAATATCTCTATACAGGATTTAAATTATCAGCTCAAAAGCTGTTTTACATTATGGTCCTGTGACTTAAAAAGTATTGAGAAAATTTAAAATGGGACCACTTTAGAAAAGAAATTTTAAAAGCAAATAAAAACAAGTCATTTTATATGTTATAATGTACATTAAAAGTGTATTTTCTTATGCATGTACGTATTTGTAAAACTATCGATATAAGACGCATATTAGACCTTAGCTGATAAGTTTTTCCAAATAAAAGCACCAAAATAGCATCCATCGTTACAGGTTTCAAGATGTAACAATGAAAGTGATATCAATCACAGTTTGAATTAAGAAATGACCCTCCCTTAAACTGAGAATCTGAATTCTAACAGGTTGAGATCAATCGCCGCCTGCCCTCTTAGCTTTTCAGCGCACCACATATTCACATATTCTTTCAAAAAGAGCAGAAGACCAGCGCAGCTGTTCAGAAGAAGCTTTTGTCTATGCACCATGTTATGTTTAGTGACCTAGCTTCAGTAAAACCAGTTTCATTCCCTCAGTCACACGTGTTACTCAATGCATGACTTAAGCAGTGTTGGATGTTATTACGAGTTCCCAACGACAACTACCTACGGATAAGTGAATGGTGATAGGCATTTCGAACAATTCTTCATCGGATGTTGTCCTTTAGGGCAGTTATCTAGTTTTGCAGCTACTAATTGAGAATCAATGTCCCTCCCGCGGGACAAAGCCGTAAAAATAAGACTGATTTGAACTTGGCTTTCACTTGTAGGACAGGAATATTCGTGAAGAATTGTAAGGTGCTTAAATATGTTCAACAGCTTTGCAATCACCACAAGTCAGTTCGACACTTAATTAGGATACTAGTTATGTTTTATGTTGAAGCATTTACAAAAAAAGGAAAGAACGGCAGATGGAATATCCGATTTCTAGCAAACTTTCCTATTTACAAAATCTTAATTAGTGTAACATATCTACAACAGTTAACCCAGTCTCTTCCTCATTGGTGATTATATAATGGTATTTGTCATGGACACATCCCTAGGTAAGAAAAAAAGGACGGATCCCACCGAACATCAAGGCTCTACTTGGCAACATCAATCTGGGCGAACAAGCGAACAGGTGACTAACACCCGCACTTTGTATAACATGATGCGTCTGTGAACTTTTATTATTAGCAAAATATGGCAAAGAACAAGATTCCACTTGAATGTTAAAAGAAATAAGAAATCACTTTCACTCGCTTGTAATCTTTCATTTTTTTGTCTGGGCAGATTACTAAAGATTACATTCATAAAGAGTACCATTATGACGTGAAATTTTAGAAGTCGTTGATATTTTCCTGGAGCAGAAGCACCCCTTTTCGGTTGAGAAGAGCCGCGTTGATCAACTGTATTTTGTTGTAATACGAGCGATGCAACTGCAACGCTTGCGTTTCCTAATCGTTCGTGAACCAGCGATGCGCAGTTAAATAGTACCAAAAGAGCACTCCGTTGCTAAGGAAATAGCGCCTTCTCTCGGTCCAGCTTGAGGCCAATAAGATTGTTCGCTCGTCACCGAGCGCATGAACAGGGCCACGTTTTTATCATT